TGTTGCTGCTGCTGCTGCTGCTGGCTATCGAAGCCCCAAAGAAGGAGCAGCAGCAAGAAGAATAATTTATTTTTTTTATTTATTTTATTTAATTATAAATATTTATTTTATGTTTATTCTTTTTATTTATATATTTAATATATATGCATAAGAGCAGCAAATGCAGCAGCAAGAAGAAGGACGCAGCAGCACGACCACGGCAACAGCAGCAAGAGCAGCAGCAAGAGCAGTAGCAACAACAGCAGCAGCAGCAGCAGCAACAGCATCTGCTGCTGCTGCTCCTCCTGTAACATATAACTCCTTCTTCTTCTTTTTTTTGCTGCAATAAAAGAAGAAAGAAGAATTATTTTATTTTATTTTATTTTATTTATAAAAATAGTATGTTTGCTGCTGCTGCTGCAGCAGCAAGTTGGGGTGTATAGGCAGCTCGGGTGTCTGTGTCGGTGGTGGTGTAGCGGTGTGTGTATATTGTTGTATTTTTTTCTTATTTTTTTCTTTTTTTTTTCTTTTATTTAATTAAATTAATTAAATTAATTAATTAATTTAATTAATTTAATTAATTTAATTAATTAATTTAATAAAATGCAACAATTTAACACAAAAGCAAGAAGAAGTGTATCAAGGGTTTCTTCTGCTGCTGCTCCTCCTGCTGCTGCTGCTGCTAAACTTACTGCTGCTGCTTCCTCTGCCTTCCTTGGTGGCTCAGCTGTACGTACACCCCGAAGGACAGTAACATTAGCAAGCAACAACAGCAGCAACAGCAGCAGCAGCAGCATTGGCAGCAGCAGCAAGACCACCAGAACCCGTAAATACAGCCACAGCAGCAGCAACGCCAGCAGCAACAGCAGCAGCAGTAGAAGTAGCAATCGCAGCAGTAGAAGCAGTAGAAGTAGCAGCAGCAGCAGCAGTAGCAACAGTAGCAGCAGCAGCAACAGTAGCAGTAGTAGCAGCAGCAGCAACCCATCGACATTCCGTAAGTCCTCCAGCCCTTGACTTCATGCTCCTTCCTTTCTCTTGCTGTTGTTGTTGCTGCTGCTGCTGCTGTTGTTGCTGCTGCTGCTGTTGCTGCTGCTGTTGTTGTTTCCGCTGCTGCCATCCTTAAACCTGCTGCTGCCATAGCTGCTGCAACTGCTGCTGCTGCAGCAGCAGCAGTTGCTGCTATCTCTGTTTGTTCGGTTCCGTTTATGTTGCATTATTCTTTGTTATTGTTAGTCCTCTCTTACATCATTAGGGTTTAGGGTTTAGGGTTTAGGGTTTAGGGTTTAGGGTTTAGGGTTTAGGGTTTAGGGTTTAGGGTTTAGGGTTTAGGGTTTAGGTTGTTGGATGTTTAGGTACATCAACAGGTTCTGTATCTGGTGTTAAACCTAACGAAGGAGAAGAAGAGGAGGAGACAGGAGAAGAAGAAGAACAAGAACAACAAGAAGAAGAAGAAGAAGAAGGAGAAAATAATAAAAAAAAAGAAGATAAACAATTTGGTCCCCATTTATCTATTTTATGCCTAAATGCTTATTTAATTCCCCCTTTTATTTCTTATAATCCTTACTTCTGGGCTCCTTTCTGGTCCTGTAAGCAGCCAAGGTATAGAGCAGAACAGGTAAATATATTTATTTATTTATTTATTTATTTATTTATTTATTTATTTATTTATCTATTTATTTATTATGTAAATAGCCTAGGTATTGAGCAGAACAGGTAAATATATTTATTTATTTATTTATTTATTTATTTATTTATTTATTTATTTATTTATTTATTTATTTATTTATTTTATTTATTTATTTTGCTTATTTATTATGTAAACAGCCAAGGTATAGAGCAGAAAAGGTACATAAATAAATAAATAAATAAATAAATAAATAAATAAATAAATAAATAAATATTTTATTTATTTATTTATTATATAAACAGCCGATATATATGGCACAACAGCTAGTTAATTTATTTATTTATTTATTTAATTTATTTATTTATTTAATTTATTTATTTATTTATTTAATTTATTTATTTATTTATTTATTTATTTTAAAAAA